TTATTGTTTTTTTTTTTTCTCCTTGGTTTTCAAGATGTGTTTGTTTGTCTGTTTCTTTATTTTTACATGAAGAATTTCATATGTAGCCCAGGCTGGCTGCAACACTTGCTATGTAGTCAAGGCTGGGTCTACACACCTGATCCTACCAATACCTTTTAAGTGCTGTGTCACTTCACTTGGCATGTTAATCTGTTTCTAGCTGGCCATATGTCGACACAGTTTTTCTTTGATATTCTTTTGAGTTCTATTTTCAATGCTACTTTAATCTCTTATCAACTCATATTTAGGGGGGTATCCTTGGATTATTCTTAGCAACCCAGAAGACAAAAGTAAAATATCTAAAAGATGTACAGTTTGGAGTCCAACTGATTCACAGTTTAACTTTTAGCTGGTGACTTGAGATGACTGACAACCTGAAATTATTATTCGTCATCTAAGGGAATAAAGATGAAAATAAGAATAAATAGATCGGGCTGGAGAGATGGCTCAGGGGTTAAGATCACTGACTGCTCTTCCAGAGGTTCTGAGTTCAATTCCCAGCAACCACATGGTGGCTCACAACCATCTGTAATGTGATCTGGTGCCCTCTTCTGGCATGCACTGTATACATGATAAATAAATAAATCTTTAAAAAAAAAATAAAAGAATAAATAGATCAGACTTTTGGAAATGCCGGGTACAGATTAGTATGCCCAGTAATTTTGCATTTTCATTTTTTACATCATTGAGTTTTTAATATGCAAAGTTAATTTATGTTTACATAGTGTTCAATTAAAATTATTATTTTAAAGTATGGTTATTTTGCCTGCATGTATGTGGGTGCACCAAGTTTATGTCTAGTTCCCCTGGGAAGCCAGAAGAGGGCTCTGGATCCCCTAGAACTGGAGTCACAGATGCTGTGAATGCTGGGAATTGAACCCAGGTCCCCTGGAAGGTCAGCTGGTGCTTTTAACTGTTCTCTCTCTGACCTCTCTCTCTTTTTTTTTTTCTAGCAGCATGCTTTTGAAATGTCACTTATATCTTTGCATAGCCCTGTGACATCACCAGGGGAATTTTTATCACCAGCTTAGGATGAATCCAGTGATAATAATCAGCTCTCAGCAGGTAGTGTTAGGACCCGTCAAGGTCCTTAGTCCAGGCCCTTTGCACTTGGCACTGACATTCTTATTTTTTAATTTTTTTCCCCAGCACCTGGTCCTACCATTCTTGTTCTTCTTATTGTTGTTATTATTGTCCCAGCACCACCTTCCTCCTTCTCTTCCTCCTCCTCCTCGTTGTTTTCCGAGCACCTAGCCCTACCATTCTTCTCCTTTTCTTTCCAGTCTGGGTGTTGAACTTGGGGCCTTGCACATGATAGGCAGAAGTTTTACGCCAGAGCCACACCCCCAGCTCAGGCCTGGCTTTACCTGCTTTCTCATATACTTGCTGTGTCTTTGACCATTTCAGTGATAAGCAGCCACATTCCTAAACAACTTAGTGAGAGCCAACTCCTTGCCCCTGCTGGCGCTGTATGTTAGATACAGCATCTTTTCATTCAAATCAACTTTATTCCAGAGCCCTGCTTATCAGCCACTTTGGTTTTCATCCATGGATTTCCTGAGTGTGTCTTCTGTTAGGTAGTAGGTTGTCAAAGCTATAAGATTATAGGTAATGATTCTTTATTGGCTACTTTGTATCACAATCTTAATCACTGTTGCAGTACAGGTTATATCTATTGCATAGTCAGGGTAGTAAATTCAAGTCACTCCTTTTCTAATCAGTACACAAGTAACCACCTGACTGTCATGTTTGGAGAGGCTGCCAGTGTCCTGTTATTAATATGGCCAAACCTCTGGTTTTATTGGGTCCTTGGTTTTACAGTTTTACCTTCAAACTTTATTATACAAACTGTATCGATAAAGTTTTAAAAAATTACTCACATCCTTTCATTTATGATAGTTGTTAGGTGATTGATTTATTATTATATTTATCAAAAGTAGATATTTTATGGGCTTCTTTTGGCCTAAACATTCACTGATTTGGTTTTTACTTGTAGTAATACAGTTGGTGATATTTCCCTTTCCCCTTTTAGATTACTTTATGTATGTATGTATGTATGTGAGTGTTTTGCCTGCATCTATGTATACCACATGCATGCCTAGCACTTTTGGAGGTCAGAAGTGAGCATCACATCTCCTGGAACTAGAGTTCCACAGGGTTGTGGATCACCACATGGTTGCTGGGAATTGAATCTGCGTCCTCTGCAAGAGGAACCAGTGTTCTTAATATTTCAAAAGCTATTAAGTAAAATTAGTTTTAAAAAATGAGTACATTTGTTCTCTCAGAAGTGTTACCCATTGTTTTAATAGATTAATTATTGTATTGCATCCTGTATCATCTACTTCTCAGCTGTGGTAGGTCCTGGGAGAAATAGCCATGGCTTTGTCCTGCTAACATGGTATTTCAGTAAAGCCATTTTTGTTTTTATTTACTCAAATTCAGTGTCTCTTCTTTGTTGACATTACCTGTGACTATGTTCGTTTCCATTATGCGAATAACTAGAACTCTAAGCAGTTTTATACTTTTCACAAATCTTTTCCTCTGCATCCTTGCTTGTGATTTAATGGAACACCTGGGCACTATGTCTTGTTTCTTCAGTCACTAGGCAAAATGAATACCTTCTTAAATCTCCCTTTCCAATGGAGAAGAAAAGGAACAAAAGGAAAAGCCACTGAGCTTTTGACCTCCATTACACAAGAGATAAATTGCACATCTCATCCTGTAGGAATCTAGATAAGATGTCAAATGAAGTCACGCCAGCAGATTTATAGGGGTTGTATAAAAATATGTGCAAGTACGATGTTTCATTAACTTTATAAAGCAATATATTATAAATACCCCGCTTGTGTTATCTTCACTGTCTCTACAGTTAATGCTGTAGAAAGGTTAGGTCTTTAATTCCAGGTGTGAACCAAGCTGTACTCCATCTGTACAGAACTTCTTACAGCCTGATGTATAGACAATCGTGTTTTAGGACAGCGATTCTCAACCTTCCTAATGCAGTGACCCTTTCATACAGTTCCTTATGACCCCCAGCCAGAAAATTGTTTTCATTACTACTCCATAACTGGGATTTGGCTACTGTTAGGAATTGTAAATATCTGATATGCAAGATACTCCTGTGAAAGGGTTGTTTGACCACCAAAGTGGTTATGACTCACAGATCAAGAAACACTGTTTTAGGAAGTTATGAAGGTAGTCTGCAGAAATGTAATTATTTTGGACAACTATTATTTGGCTGTTGGAATAATCTGAACTTAACTGACTGTGTGGAAATTGCAGCCTCCTGGGTTATTCAGAGGCACCTGCCTTGATTGTCACCCTTGAGAGATGCCGTCGAGCCTTCTCTCACCTCTGCTTCCCATGCCTTCCCTGGTTCTTACAGAGGGGGTCTTCTGATGACCTCTTCAGAAGAGGTGGCTCCCTGCTTGTGCTGTCCCATGCACTAGCCTTTCTTTTCAGGTCATAGGGGATACTAATACATGAGTTAAATGTACAAACAAAGGTATTCAGTGTGAACCCAAAATATAATTCTGATTTTTTTTTTGAACAGATGAATTGTCTCCCTTTTGCTGATAACTTGGCTTTGTAAACAATCATAGTCTCTCATGGATCTCACTAGGCAAGTTGAGCTGTTCTTTTTTAGGCCACTGAAAAGAAATTTTTTTTTTTATCAATGGGAACCAGCTATTTCATAGAACCTGTTAGAAGTCAGGTGTGTAGTGACTTATAAAATTCATAGCACTTCTGCAGGGAAAACTAAAGCCCTGTCTAGCTGCTCTGTCAGGACTATTGGAGGCTGTGTGCTGTGGATAGCTCCGTGTGCCCCAGCCCTCTTGACATCTTTAACCTTGTCGTCCTTCATGTCAGTGGCATGCTGAAGAGATGTGGGCCTGTTGATAAAAGAGAGTACCTAAGTAAACCTCTGTAAACAGTGGGTGATCTTTCAGTGTTCTTAACTATTATTTCCTACCTTTTTACATTAAGGACTTTTTTTGTTGTTTACAAAGTCAAAGTTATATGGCTTTGTAGTAACTCTTAGTGTAATCGAACATTTTACTGTTACTTGAAATTTCCTGTTTCTTTAAGTGCTCATGATTGAACCAGGCAAGTTCTCTGCTCTTGACCAACCTCCAGCACCCAACATTTCCTTTATGAAGTCCTTCACTTCTGGCTTCTTTAATGGTCTTTGATCTAGAGCCACACTGTGCAGATGACTTTCTGGGTGTCCTATCCACTGGGCCAGCCCCTATATTTGTGGCAGAGTCTTGATGACACCACAGGGATAGACATGAATGGAATGACCCACTTCCTGGACTTGGCTCCTCTACTTCGCCTAACTCTGTAGTCACCTATACAGTGGCCGGTAGTCACTGTGGCTTCTGACCCTTTGGGTTGTGGCTCTGTTGTCCTGAGATATGTTTTTAATGGTTCACCCTGGATCCCAAAGACTTATTCCCAGAAAAAATGCAAAATGGTTCACTGATGATTTTTTAATATGGATAATGTATTCAAATGTTAATGGGTGGTTATGGGTTAAATGGTATTATTGTAATTAATTTTACTTGTTTGTGACTAGTTAAAATACCTACTGGAAGATTTTATTTGGCTCCCATTAAATGTCTATCAGGTGCTGCTTCTCAATATATTTTAAAACAGAAAATGACTGTCCTCATTTGGCTCAAGAGTTCCCCGAGAGGCTAGCAGGATAATGAGTTCCTTAGCTGCACTCAACATTTAATTGCTGTGTAGAGGCTGGTAATTTTCCATGCTCGACACAGCCTGGAGCATTTTGAGACCTAGCCACATGGATGAAATAGTTGATACAGATTTCGGTCGTGGAGAGTGTGAATATCTCAACCTGCAGATGGGCCAAAGATGCTGAGTCTCTTCCCTCCTGTCGCTGGGTGTATCCAGGGAAATTTGCACTTGGCTTATTTTCTTTACTCCTTTATTTTCAGTGTTGGAAAACTTCGACCAGACAATTGTCTGTCCTACCTTTGGCTCGCTAGAGAACCAGCAGGATTTCCGAACTCCAGAGTTTGTAAGTATTTCATCTTAAATTGTTACTTGTCATCAAGAAAGATTTTCTGTGAAAAATAAATCCTATTCTTCAATGGTTCAATCTCCCCCCCCTTCTAATGGGGGGGGCGCCCCCCACTCTTCCTACCCATGACTGTTTGGTCTCTGGTGTCTCTGAGGAGCTGGTTGATGGAACTTGAGCATCCCCGAATTGGGAGCTTTGAGTTTGATTTCACGCTGCATATGCGCCCACTGACAGGAACTCTTTCCGTAGTAAAGGAGCGAGATGTTTCCAACATTTCCTGCTTCAGTGGCTGGGTCTGTAGCTGTCAGTTTCTGCTCTCCTTAACCTTGGAAATCAGTCTTGACTGAGCGCAGACAATGCTCTGGCCTGGGTGCTGTTACTCACCATGGAAAGCCCATTTCTCATTACCTTCAGTAATGCAACCTGGTAGGACTAGGAATATATTATTGGTTGTTTCTACCAAGAGGGAAACTAATGTCCCCACTCAGCCAGACATTGAAGATTAGCCATGGCTCCTACCCTCAAGGAATTAAAAATGAATGGTATTAGATGCCACTGTGATTTTATTAGTGCCTTGTTTAAAGAAAATTAAGCATGTAGGATGCCTTGCAGAATGCCTTTCAAAGCAGATTTTATATTAGGCTCCTAAAGTCCTTGACTCTCCCACTCATAGCAGAGAAGTGGGAAAGCACAGCAGCCTTCACCTGCATTTACCCAGTTTTTTCATTGCTGTAGATAACTTGTCTACCATTTACTTTCAAAGTGGAAATGTGTGTGTGTTTGTGTGCATGATCAAGGTGTGTATCTATGTGTGTGTGTGTCTGTCTGTGTGTGTGTGTGTGTGTGAGTCTGTGTATCTCTCTCTCCCTCTCCCTCTCCCTCTCTCTCTCTCTCTCTCTCTCTCTCTCTCTCTCTCTCTCTGTGTGTGTGTGTGTGTGTGTGTGTGTGTGTGTGTGAGTCTGTGTATCCCTCTCCCTCTCCCTCTCCCTCTCCCTCTCCCTCTCCCTCTCTCTCTCTCTCTCTCTCTCTCTCTCTGTGTGTGTGTGTGTGAGTCTGTGTCTCTCTCTCCCTCTCTCTCTCTCTCTCTCTCTCTCTCTCTGTGTGTGTGTGTGTGTGTCTGTGTGTGTGAGTCTGTGTATCTCCCAGCTCTCTCTCTCTCTCTCTCTCTCTCTGTGTGTGTGTGTGTGTGTGTGTGTCTGTGTGTGTGAGTCTGTGTATCTCCCCCCCTCTCTCTACTCTTTCTCTATCTCTGTCTCTGCGTGTGTGTTGGGGT